GCCGGAAAGGTATATCTGAATAGTTGCCGTAAAAGTAGAAGGACTGATAATACTGAATTAGAATATATACTGATACTAGTCTGGAACCTCAAAGGTACTCTTAAGAATATTATATAGGCTTCGCACTTGACAATACGAGTACAAACAGATGGTTGTGATTTAGATAGAGAAAACCCGGTGGAAAATGCCGTATTCTGTTGTTTTAATATGAGGATTGAAAATTAATTTCAGATGATTCGATTTCAATGATTGGAAGACAGTTGCAATTTGTAGATGTACTGTCAATTAGATAAAAGGATAAGACATGTAAATACATATTGTAAATATTTGGGTATATTTTGAAATAAACAACAGAAATATATAGAAACTTGAAAGCATAAATAAACAAACATTGGTCACATTTTATTTTTCTGTCTCCGCTTATGGTTATTAACCGGGGACAGATCTCTTCGTTAAATTTATTTTAAATATTACATAGTGAAGTGTATATACGCCGAGTACAACACGATAATTACAGCTTATTTACAAACGATTTTTATTATAATACCCATGATACCATTGTTAATAAAAGGTATTCTTTTTCAAATTGTTCTGTTCTTAATGTCAGAAAGCAGACCATATAATTAATATATGTAAATTTTTAACAATTGTGATAAAAACAAATCAGTCTATCTGCTAGGTTAACTCTAAAATGATTTCTCATAATCTATAAAAAATCTGCTATTGATTATTTTTATTAAAAGTCATTACTCTAAAACTTTTAGTGATCAACAGTCATCGGGCTTTGATGCGTATGATTATGGGTCATATCTTGATTTTACTAAAAGTATTTCTTCCTTCAGTAAAATGTTAACACGGTTATGCCACCGTGAACTCGGGCACCAGTGGTACTATTAATACAAACAGGGTTTACTACAAAAAGGAATGACGCAGATATTTAGACTAAAAAATTTATATATGATGCAATTTGACTACTTGCACTCATTTTGATAGAATACTTGGAATATCTACATTAGTTTTGTTGAAAAAAAAATTTGTAAATAAATTTAAAAAAGAAATTTAAACAAATCTCTAAGCGTGAAGAGTAATAAAGTTTTGACAAAGCCGAATCAAAAGTGACATCCCACTTTTCAATCACACTTCATTTTCTAAAAGTGCTAACATAAAATCACTATACAGGAATAGATAAATCCATTAAACTGAATTAGCATTTAATATTGTCAATTATTCAGCAATGAAAGCAACCAAATTGTTTAGATATTTAGTGAAATAATAGTGGAACACAACTTAAACACTGCTACGTACGACTATAGAATCTGCTGAACGAAGGTGTTTAGTGTGTGGTTTATTTCGTAGCCAAATAAGTTTTTATCATAAATTACTTCTGCATAAAGAGGGAAATCACGAAATAGATTCTTAGAGTTGCTCTTTGTAAATTATTCCTGGTTTCGGTGGCGTTTTATCTTTAACAATAGTTGGATATGAGACGGTTACACAAATGTTGCATGTTGCCTGTTGCCTATTGCCTTCACATACTCGTAAGTGTACTCGTATGTGGTGAACTTTGAAATAAAAATCGTGCATTATTAATGCACTAAAATACATAGGTACACCTAGTTAAGAGTTAGCACACACTAAATGAATAAATAGGAATACAAATGCGTTGATAAACACTTGTACATACTTTAAGTAAACCGCCTCAGTTCTACCTATTGTACATATATCAGATACAATCAAATAACAAGAATAAAATTCGACTTGCTTGACAATTTTAGCAAATAATTGTTTTATAGTGCACTTGCCCGTTGCCAAAGGACGCATATAAGAAATGAGATTATTGTCTTGCAAATAATTCTATTGGTTTAATTGAATAGAAAACAAAACTCAGTTTTATGGCTTTAAATTTATTCATTTTCAAAAACTTACTTCTTGGTTAAGTGATCTTCAGAAAAATATTTCGTTATAAAGATATTCAATTATTGTAAAAGTCCTGAGTATTTTAAATTGCCGAACGTAAAATTATATTAATATTTGCATTACTACATTTACCGACGAAAGTTCGCAGAACCATAGTTTTACGAACTTTTACCTAAATTAGTTGGTAAAAAGTTTGAAAGTTTACAATAACAAAGATATATACCAATATATCATACCATGGCATTATGATATGAAATAAGTTTAACTGGCTCAGCTGTGAGACCTGTTGTCAATGCGAAACGCGGAATATGCTGGCACTAAATTATTCAACAGAAAGCGTTCCTAACTGAGTATAAGAAAAAACTAGCATTATAATATACGATTACAACGTAATTAGTTCCAAGAATGGTATAGTTCCCAAACATACATATTTAAGATCAAGCGACACTAACTATTTCACGATTTAAACCATTTGACTTTCATTTAATTATGTACATAAAGAGGTTTTTCGAATAGTAGTGAAATACAACAACAAAAATTCATTTTGTATTATTTTAATTAATTCAATTTTTGGCTGACCATACAATTGTTTCGAGTAATACCAAATATCCATCAACAGTGATCTTGAAAATAATTCTTATCTACTAAATGATATGAGGTCTGAGTAGTTTTTTGATATTCCATATATCTTGCGGTTCATTATCTTAGAGTTTAAGTTTTTTCATATTTAAAATGATACATGATGCTTATATTAAATGATAGTTAATAAGCTTATTACTCCCAAAGAACACGGCAAAATTCACATAAAATTTGATTTGGATATCATTCCAATGTTATTGTCGCATATAATCAGCGTTATTCGCAGATTAACAAATCGCGTGTATGTAACAAACGAAGGTATCTAGGTGAAGACACCTAGATGTAATCTGATGTTTTTAATTAAAAAACAATCTAATAAATATTATGAGACAAATATATATTAATCTGTATGTGTGTACTCGTAGATTATTGCACTCCATGTGAGACTATGAAACAATTTGATAAGTGGTCCTTTGATTATGAAGGCTGATTTGCATTTTTATTTTTATGTTTTCATTGAAAGTGCCATAAATGGATGCTTCATCAGTTTGTGTCTTTTTCTGAAAATGCACAGCATAAAGTCACAATGCAGTTGATATTTACAAAAGAATCTTTTCTGCTGATATACTATTGCACTGAATTCTTACAATAACAATTACCAAACAAATGAGAACTCCGCTTCCTTCGGCGGAGTTATGCACCCTATTTCAAAGGCACTTCTAAACACACACTGCTCCTTGGGAAATATGCAAGATACAAAATCTTTTGTTTATACTGGGAGAGCAAAAACTTTTGGCAAATGGTTAAAGTGTGTTGATTGCCTGCCGCAAATGCGCAGGTGGCAAGTGTTTGAATTGTAATTGAAATTTGTGGCTGTTCATCGATTTTGTATCTGACGGGTATTTAGATATGTCAACAAATGGCCTACAATCTTGTGACAGAACACATAAACAGCCAAGTGCTGCAAATCAATCGCCAAATATGGTACTTCATAGTTTAGTCATTCGTCAATCAGGTGCGATTTGGGGGTCACAGCTAACTGATATAACAAAATGCCATCAATGTAAGACTTTTGGAATGCTCATACAAACATGTGCAATTTAAATACCAAGTTTTTTATAATCATCTCTTTGTTTTCAATTATTCCGAAAAGCGAATTTTCTTAAATCGAAAATATTATTAATTATAGAATTAAATGTATATATTAAATGTATATGTGAAATAAATACATTTAATGCATATTTGCATGACAAATTGCAATGGTTCTGCAGTGGGCACAATTATTTGAAGAATGAGCATTTTGAAGATCATCAATAAATGGCTCTTATGGGACAAAACGTCAAATGATCAAAAAATTCAGTAATATTTTATCATTACCGTGATCAGTAATATCACCGTGTTACCACCTTTCATAAAGATTTGAATGTTTCCGATCTCACTTAATTTAATTGGATTTCAAAATAAACATTGAAGTTTAGTTCCTGACATATAACGAATTTTTCAGTGAATCAATCTATTCATAGATGTAGGAAAACTCAACTATGTGGGTATTTTAAAATGAACCACCAACAATTTAAGTTGTTTGATCGCTCATTGTAAGTAAGAAAGAGCCGCCTGCTTATTCTCTAGAAGTCCACTGCTGTGCATTTTAAGAATCAAATTATTTAATAGAAAAGTAAAAAAAATTTCGATTTTCAGACAAATAACGAAGGGAAAACCTTTCGGTTTTCACATATAGCTTCAGAGCTCTGTCCGTTATGTATTTTTTGATCAGATCGATTTTAAGGTCTCATAGTATGTCATTCGTGCGGATGTACCATGGCACTTTGAAGATTCTTCGGAGAGCCTGACTTTAAGCAACTTGTAGCTTCTGGATAGTAGAGTCGGTAGCTTTGCTATACGCGACACACTCATAAAGTAGTGCTGGACTAATAATCTAGCTGTAGATCAGCTTTCTGTTCTTTCCGCTAGGGTTGTGTTTGTAAGCATTGCAGTGTTTTTGCACAACTACTGCTTTTGTCTTGTCAGATGTTAAGGATATCCTGAGAACAGACGTATTTTCATGGTTAGTCAGAGTGGGATAAAAATCTTGAAACTAAAAGAATCTGAATCGAAAGATGTACTCATTTTTTTATTGATTTAGTCCAATACCATCATAATCGCGTTATCTAACTTTCTGAGTAAATTTCTTGCTATTAACTGGTTTAGAGACGTTAAAGGTGTATCTGCTCCTTCTTCTTTCTAAAGAATGTATCTAGTCATAACTAATTTTACTTTTTATCTTAATAATAATACCTATTTAAATTTTATATCATAAAAATGACATTTTTTTGTGTAATTTTCGCTTATTTTGATCAACCAACATTTGGTGTTGGAAGAATGAGATTTAATTTAGCTTATTCGTTGAAATGCTTCTGTATTATTTATATTTTACTTTTAAATTATTGTTTACAAAATTAAATAAAATCTATTTGAACTCGAATCGTTTTATATTTTATTTGCAGGAAGATCGTTCATCTGTATCATCTGGGAACGAGTCAGATGAATCTTCGGATATTGATTCCCCTATACTGACTTCAACAAATACTAAAAATTCTGCTGTTGATAAGTTGCCAGTAGACAAAAGTGTTGCAACATGCAGTAGCGCAGTGCAGGCAAATATCAATACGGCACAAAGGGTCCAATCAAAAAAAAGCTGTTGTTCCATGGAAGTTGTTAATCCACAGAGCGATGCAAGTCTTTTATATCCTACCTCTGCACTATCAAGTGTTCCACAAGATGTTCTCCTACAACTAATTCAGTGCGGACATTTGCAACTTCATACTGAAGAAGGTACGTGTATCTTAATAAAAATATTAATGACAACCTATTTTTGACTTTGGTTTTTTAGACGGTAGTGGTCACCAATATGTGGCTATTCCTTTGACTTCGTCAACTGCGAATCTATTAAAAGCTAGTCAATCTTCAACAACTAGTACTGCAAACACAAAAGATTGCTTAGAAACGCGAAATAAAAATGAAATTAGCAGTTCAAAAGATAAACAAGAATATCAGACAAATACTACTTCAAGTGGATTGGTTATAAAACAAGAATCGGTCTAGTTTTAGTCCCAATACAATATTTAATTAGTCCAAGTAAATTCTTTTAACTAGAAAGATATTGGATCAAGACTTTGAAAGTACTGGTATAACGTTCCTAAAGTACTTGTCATATGGAAACTATACTCTTGTTCATCTTGTTGCAGTTATATTGTTCAGTTTTTAACATGTTTGTGTATTGTATATTGAATAATAAAAAATTTATTTACTAAATTTATAAAAATATATTCTGTTATTCTCTTATTTTAATTGACCATCTTGATCAGAGGTTGAAAATGGCCAATATATATCATACCTCACCTGAAATATTCTTGATAGCAAAAGTGTTAAATTATTTTTATCCAATGTATTTAATAAATTTAAGTAATCATGTGCGCAAAACCTAAAGATAGTAATGAATCTTAGATTCTTAGTTTTCTGGGTTTCATAAATTATGAAAAACTTCCGTCAATGGTCTATTTGGTAGGTTAATGCTTTCCACCTAATAAGAAAGTAACAGCACTGAGAAGCGAGAATTCATCGAAATTGATTGTGGAAGTAATATTCAAACGTGTTCATATATTTTCTTTTTTCTTATTATTTTGTTAAGAAATGTTATTTAGAATTCAAGTCACTGCGTTAAGTTGTTAATAAAGTTACGCATTTGAAATAAGAAAATTGCTTTATTCACAACGTGGTTAATATGCAAAGAAACCGGACAAGTGGCACGAGCTCAAATAAAATAGCTTCCGCTGTTGGTTGAATACATATGTGCTCTGCGTATACCTACCATAAATGCTGATTGAAGAACGCGATTTCAACTGCCAACCTAAATATAGGACACGAAATCGCAAACAATGTTCTCAGTTTTATTGTTAAAAACTATTTTATTCAAAGTGATTCTATGTAATTAAATACTATAAATTAATTATAAATGCCAAAATGACAATTCAAAACAATCTTTGTTTTTTAATGATTTCATAATCATTTTTTATATAGTACTTTGTACCAACAGTACTAATAAAAACTATCTGAATTAACCAATACTATTTATATTATTAGAAGGAACAATAGAAAACCAATGACCAATAAGATCTATTCTACTAAAGGAAATTTTCGAATTGAAGCAGAACATAAAGTAATAAGTAAGTAATTTAACTTATACCTTATTATGTAAACGGAAGAAACAAAATCTATTTGAACACTGGAGAGCGCAAACAGGCACGCGGCAGTCAAGAAGATTCACTGATCCTGAACACAATAAAGTTGATGCTATCCTTAACCTTAGCAGAAACGATATTAAAATCTACACCGAACTTCTTAAAGGACCCTGTAGACTTAATTACCATATGAAGATTATAGGTGCGGTAGAAAGCGATTCCTATCGACTCTGTCATGAGGAGAAGGAAACATCGGAACATATCGTAAGCAACTGCCCAGCAGCAGCAAGACATAGATTCGACTACCTTGAAAGCGGTATCTTAGTCCCAAATCGAATAGGTAAAATTAAGCCCACTGCAATTACGAGATTTATAAATAGTCTAGAACTGTTTTCGTTGGGCGTTTAGACGCACAATAGATCTTTCAGGTCGGGGTACATTCATAGCCTACTATTTAATAATAAAAATAGTTTTGGTTATAAATTTAAAAAATTTTTCAATGAAATCCTATAGAAAATAATAGAACTAGCAAAATGTATTCATTAATATGAAAAAATATGAAAACCTAACAACCAAGGATAACCCTACACAAAGATAGGTAACGTAACATAGCATAAAAATAACATTCTAGTAATGTGTTTTATAAATCACTGCTGAATATTACGTCCCAGTCTCTACATTAAGTGAAACTTTATGAATCTATAAGCTATAATCTGTTATAAATATATGATCTCTAAATTTTTTATAAATAAAATTATAAAAATTTATAAAATATTATCAGAGAATATATCAAATAATAAAGATTTTCAATCAGAGAATCAGATTCTATAAAATTATAAAAATATTATAAAATAAAGATATTAAATCAGAGAAGAAGTAGTAATTAGTGTGGTTTTCACACAGATTAGTCATTGTACATATTTTTAAATATTCAATGAAATGAACAGACATCATTTACCGGTTTCACTTATCTACGCCGATCTAAAGAATTGAACTTACTCTTTAATTCCAAAGAAATTAGTCAGATAGGGAGGATTACATCAAGATATATAAAGATCACATAATCAAATAAAAGAAAAAAATCAACAACCCATCGAAGTTATCTTCGGGATCAGCATATCTCAGGTTCTTAGATTCTTAGATTCCGCAAAAATGATTAGGTTCTCTTTAAGAAGATTTGAATCCCCAGTTAGCTTTAAATTCTTTTTAGCAATAGAATAATTAAAATATTAACAAACTATAGTCATTTGGAATTGAACGAGTATATTCTAAAAAGATATACACATTTTAGTAATGATTAATGTGTTTGGGTTTTTTATAAAAATATAAAATATAATAATTTTATCTGATTAAAATGATTATACTCTTTTTGGTCTATTAAGCTTTTTCTATTGACTTTTCAAGGTAAATTACATATAATTTAGCTATCTACATACAGAATGTGTGCTTATATGCACGAATATGTAATTTTATGCATTAGGATTGGCTCTAGGAGTTGTCATGTCATTAAGCGATTACTGACGGACATGGGAAGGAAATGGCGTTGAAATCGATTTAGTGTTAGACTGTGTTTTTAGCTAAATGCCAGTACCTTTGTTGGCACTTTCGGTTTTTATAATTAAAGTTATTGATATTTTTCAAAAATTTGCATTAAAATTTAGTAAAAATTGATAAGTTTAAATATAATAATTTAATCAACTGTACTAGTATATATTAAAAAATGAATAGTTTTGTGATTTTCTTGAAACCTTTAGAAATATTATCAGAAGATCGGGTACTTATATTCAAATAAAAATAATTATATTAATAGTTAAGGAAAATGGGTTGCAGTCATTCCAATACAAAATCGACTTTTAATGAAACGCCATTTGGAACGAATAATGGTGAAGCAATCAGCCCCGACAAGAAAGAGGATAGCACCAATTTCGAAGAACAACGTCAATATCGTAAGTATAAGGTATTTCAGTATCAAAATATATATTCTTATAATTAATTTTTTTGCAATGGATTGGGGAAAAAGTATGCGGCTTTATTTGTGTGCTTAACTTTTAAGTAAAATAACTATAAAATGGTTAGTTGTATTTATTATTTTCTATTCGTATGTAAGATAGATGATTGATAAACTGATTGGTGAAAATTTTATTGAAATTGGTATTGCAAAGCATATATGAGCGATATTTCGAAAAATATCAAAATATATTACAACTCCTTTATGAAAAAAAAAACACTAATGCAGTTTGTGGAAAATATATGCTAATGCTAAGAAATGGTTCGGTCGGTTTCATGCTCTAAATTCCGATGTGAGTGGTGGAAAAAGAGCGGTATATTAGCAGTTACAGCATTACGATAATGCCATTTATTATGAACGACTATTGTTTATATTGATTCGAAATTTTGACATAGATCAAAAGGAAAAGTATTGTAGTTTATCATAGGCTAGGCTTTGAAAAAAATCTAAGTATAATAATTCTTTATAATTCTGCCATTTTAAAAAGTAGCAAAAAAGGAAAATACTAAAAATCATAGTTTTAAATTACTACGAAAGAACTATGCTTATGTTTTTTCCACAATCCAATATAAATATAAACTATAATGAAATCATATATGCTTACAGCTTCATCAGAAGCTTTCATAGTATCCTTGGACACTGGCTCCCAACCTGAAGATTACCACGCGGCTGACTCAACTGCTGCTGAATTAGTTAATGCAAAAAAAATTCCCAAACGGTTGCAGCAATTAATGCAACAACCAAGTTCAAGTGAATCAAAAACTACTCGGGAGGATTTGGAGGAAAAACTTGCTAAAGCCGAACAACGTCGATTAGAGTATCAGCAGCACAAAATTTTTGCAGTTCAAAGAATAACTCAATTCAAAGATATATCCATTCAGGAAAAAGTAGATTAATTCTTCGTTTCAATGAAAAAATCTGCTAGCATTTCAGATTTGTTTCCAAACTGCGGAGAAATAAAATGGAATGCAGATATAGATAGTTTTAACGATATTTATTAATACAATTTACATTTTGTTTGATTATAGCTTACAATGTATCTTTCATATATTTATACCCGTTAGTATTCCCAAATACAAGTTCAATTACAATTATTCTTATAAATAATTTTTAAAGTTATAAATTTACTAATATTACACAATATTTCTGGTTCAATACTGTTTATATATTTTGATTTAGATAGATATTTTTATATTTCGAGAGCCATATGTGATTTACAACAAAGGTGGGCTTTTTTACTTAAAACAACAACAAACTTGTTAGTAATATAAAATCCATGTAATCTCTTTATTTTTCTTTAGTTTCACAACTACAAATATGTTAAATAAATAAATAATGTTTAAACAATAAATATATTTCTTTTTCGAATACAGGAACCTAGCTTATTTATTCGTTTTTTTACACAAATAATTCCACTTAGAAAATGATTTATATTATTAAATTATTGATATCTATTATAATATTTCGTAAAATATCTATAACATTTTAAATAAATAGTTTTCTTTTCTAAATAAATAACGAGGACAAATAAAGGACTTTTAGAGCCGGCAAAATCATGATAATTTCAACCTATAACTAACAACCTTGAAATATCACCTCAGAAGGATATAACTCTCTTGGCACCTTAATAATAAATTGTTGTAATATGTATCTATATGTTCTAAATCTATCCCTTATTGCTTTTTATTTTAGGTTAGTTGATTTTGCAATAAAATTATTTGCAGTTTTATTCTGTATTCCCATCATGAAAGACATTTTGGTGCGGTTTGTTTAAAAAAAATTTGTTTTCAAGTAATTTGTTAAGGAACTATTTTTATGTGTACAAGTTTAGTAAACTTCACAATCCACAATCCACATTTGCTGACATAGTTTCTTATAGAAATGCAGATCAAATTAAAAATTTAGTATTTTTTTTATTATATATGGTATTTATTAGTGCTGTCCGTATTAATCGATTTAAATGATATTTGAAATATTCGACGAATACAAATAATTCAAATTAACAAATATGTGTTTTGTATCAAACAGTGAAAATAAAAAAAAAATGAAGTTCCAATCATCCAAATATTTATTTTATGTGAACAAGTTATAATTCTCATATGGTTTATATGATTTAAAAAAATATGGTATAAATATATGGTAGCATAAAAAATTTTGAATTATTCTGTAAAATATGTCTGCTGTTTTAAAAAAATTTACTTAAGAGATTAACATTAATCCAACAGTCTAGTTACTTTTAATAGTAATTGTTAACCGGATATTTGGAATATTTTTAAAATTTGAAACAGTCGTATACGAACAGTACTAATATATATTCTCGTATATTTTTCAATTTATTCAATTGATGAAAACATACATTATAGATGAGTGCAAAAATGTACTATGTATTTTTTTTAGAAACAAATAAATATACATATACGTATATATTTATACATTTACAATATATATGATATATATATACACATGTATAAATATATATATATATTGCATAGTATATATTTATACATATTATTACATATTATATATGCAATTTGTATTGCACAAATAATTATAAAACTTCAGAATCGTTCACCACATCAAAAATACAAAAATCAGTACTTTAAAAATATTATTTAAAAATATAAAACAGGAATTATCAAGTCTTTCAGAGTGCTGAAGCACACATTTTTTGTTAATTATACTATAAAATTTATTTGAATGTGAAATCATTCACAATAATTACAATAGAAATTCAACATTTAATTATTATTTAAGTACTTTTTCTATATGTCTAATAACAATAAACTCAGGAGCACAATTAAAATATAAAAAATTTATCTTTAATATTATTGTATGTATATGATTTTTGAATTTTTTTCTAACTTTCCATGAATATATATAACATATATATGTATATATGTATTAACTTAGTTATAAACTCCCCTTATCATTCCTTCACGATTTCGCGTATGCCATTTACAAGTCAAAATTCTAATATAGGTGCGTCGAAAAGATGCGTTACACAAAGCATAACATACCGGGTTGATTGTGGAATTGATGTAGCACAGGGCATAAAAGAATTCCCATAATTCGTCAGGAATGCAATCGGAGCATGTCGTTAAAGGTTTTATTAGCACTAGAATATTATAAGGCGTCCATGTTATTATAAAACTAAGTAAAATTGCTGATAATGTTTTAGCAGCTTTAGATTCTTGTCGTTTTTCTTGGGACTTTTTCTTTTTCTTTGCAGCAATACGGGCAGTAGCTTTCCCCAGAGGTTTAGGTATGATTTTCGCATTGAGAGGAATGCGCACGTCAGGTGCATGTGATGATTGACGACGTCCAATGGGTAAACTAAATTCAGAATCCCTCGAGGGCAGTGGCCTTCTCGTAGGCATTGTCATCAAAGGCATTGGCACGTCTTCATGTATCATTTTGATCGATGGCGCCGCTTCGGAGCCATTATTCGCATTTACACCATCAGATGGCAAACGAATTAAAATAGTGTAAACAGAATCCTGGCTTACAGATCGTGAGGAGCCAATACGATTATTACTTGGTAATGATCGAGGCCCCGAAACTGATGAAATATCCTGTAGATGTGATAACGGAGTTAGTGGAGGTCTTATTGGAGATATGTCCGGTAATAATATGCTAGGTGGACGTACGCCGCTCGCACTTCCACCTAAAGAGTAAGTGTCTCGCATAACATTCATGGATGTACACCTTAAAAATATAAATGTATTTAGTATTTCGATTGGAATAAAAAATTTCAAAAATTTGATATGAACGCATTAATACTTGTAACATTATGAAAATAGTTTTTACAATATTTTTTTGAAGTTGATCATGCAAAATGTGCATCGTTCGTTTTAAGCATTATCTAATAATTTATTAAATTATTAGTGGTGGTAATTCATACACAATATATAAATATTAATTTCAATTATTAAATTAAAAAAATATGAGGTGATTTTGTGAGACTAAATCTTTTGTTGGGATATGATTGCACAAAATATGTTTGTGAATAATAGCTTCTACTACCTTGATATGAAGTTTTGGAAGGGAGTATCAATTGACACAGGTGTTGCATACCCTAAATCAGATGGCTCCTCTTGTTCATACTGAAAATCATCTGAATCCTCACGACCGGAATGCCACCACGCAATACACCACTCTTTCACACCTCCCAAACACGAATATCGTTTCTTAATAGTATTATTACTCTTGATCTAAAAGCACACACACAAACAAACAACTTATATATTATATATTCAAATAAGTTTAATTATAGTATTTTATATTTACACTTGATTTTCTGGAATGCATTCCATGATAACCAGAATCTAATACCATGTTTGTCATATAAACACTTTCAGCATCTGCAGAGGATTCAGATCGCGGTCGCCTCCAATCTTCATTTTGAGCACCAGCGAGTTGTGGAAATGACAAAATTCCGGTGTGATTAACAACAGTATTTTCATCACTATAACATTTTTGTAATTTTTGGTTATAAATTATATGATAAGTATATCTCAATTTACCTAGAATTAGAACGTTTAGAGGAATCCTTTTTGCCGGCTTGTAAATTAGGCAAGTCCTTCTGACGTTTTTTTGTTTCTCTCCATATTCTGTAATATAGAAAGCACATGATAGTAACCGGGAAGTAAAATGCTGCCAATGCAGTTCCAAATGTAATGTACTGATTAGTTTCAATAAATTGAATATAACATTCGTCTGCAGGTACTGTACGCTTTCCTTCAATATATGGCCAACTATAAATCCATGGAGGCCATAACAGTAAACTAATACCCCATGCAGCACCAATCATGACTGCAGCCTCTAAAATTATTTAAAAAAAAATTTTTTATTTATTTGTAAATAATTATGGTTAAGACAAAATTCTTACTATTAGTTGTGCGTTTAGCACGATAAGTTAGTGGTCTGGTGACGCTGAAATAACGATCAAAACTTATTATAAGCAGATTGAGTACAGAAGCATTAGATGCCAAATAATCCAAAGCCAACCAGGTATCGCAAATATGTGGTCCTAACGGCCAGTAACCCAAAATTGTTGATACTGCAAACAGTGGTATAGATATCAAGCCAATAGCAAAATCGGCGATGGCTAACGAAAACAGAAAATAATTGCTTATCGTTTGAAGTTGTTTATCGATTTTAAATGATATCATAACCATGACATTGCCAGCTACTGTAAGAATGCTAAGAATAGCTGCGATTATACCCATTAGCACCATGGATGAAATCGAGTACTTCGGCCCTCGTGATTCATAATTATTCGTATAATTCGTATGATTGGTTATAGTATCATTTTCGAACACAATTGCTGTGGTTAGGTTATCTAATATAACTGTGAACAAAGTTGAAGATGATACGGTCGTAGTTGTTGTTGAGCTTGTGCTGGTCGTAGTTGATGCTGTCGTTGTTGTTTTAAATGATGGTGCAAGTGGTTCCAATATACTTGGTGGTCCATGGGCAGGCATGGCGAAACTTAGTAAAGAATTCATTTTGCTTGCTCTTGCCCTCTACTTTATGTAATAATTTTTCAAATATTCGATTTTATATTGTATCTGAAATAACAAAAATTTTGAGATATATTAAATATTATATAAATAATAACAAAATAATCTAATTAATATTAGACAACTAGAACCGCAGTGCAATAAATATGCAAAAAATATGCAATAAATAAAATAAAATGATCGTTGATATTACTGAATAGCTTGGGTCATATAAGCATTTAATACTGGACATGCAAACTACTAAATTGTTTAAAGTGACCATATAACTACTGTTCTAATTAGTATGAGTACATCTATTTTTTTAATTTCTGTATACTGTAATACTAATTAAAGCCCCTTAAACTTTGATTTGGAAAGTTTAATTTCCTCCCCTTCCCCTAAAGCTTCTATCCATTCTCATCCCATCCTCCACTTTATTTCGTATGACTCCCATTTGACATTTCTTCCTCTATTCCTCCTATTCTTCACTATTGAATTATGGTGCTTATCAGTTTTCCGCTTTTTATATATCTTTTGAGTTAACGGCATATATCAATTAATATCTTTATATTTTATATCTATAACCAATTGTCTTAGTACTAGAAAAAAATAATTAAAAATTACATAAATATTATAAAAAAGTTGTTTATAATATTTTGATAACCAAAGTCCATGGCTATAAGTAACGAAGAATTGTTGTGAATAATGAAACAAGCGTGTATAAACAAATGTATTAAAAGATGACTGCACAATCCATTCCAAATGCAATATTGATATCTCATACTCAGTGCACTCGGTGACATGACCAACGACAGATTAACTACGATTCAAAAAAACACTGGCAACTCGTTTAGTGAGTTAAGATCAGTGTCACTTAACAGACATAACTGGAAAACCTATATTGAAACATTAAGTTACTTAACAGAATATGGATAAGAATATGAATTGAATAATAATAAATATAAAAGAAAAGTAAACATTAAAGAAAATAATAAAATAAAGTTTCGAACAGTAGTGAACTACAACAAAAATTTATTTTATATTATTTTAATTAATTGAATTTTTGGCTGACCATACAGCTGTTTCGAGTATTGCTAGATACCCACCATCAGTGGTCTTGGAAATAATTCTTGTATTTAATTATTCGTAAACTATTTGTTGAGACTGCAGGTAACAGAAATCAAACACGTGCCCTGCCAAATTTAAAGCTCAGAGTCAGCGCACAATTAAACAAAATCTATAAACACATTAAAGACTCAATTCATTTTAATAATTTAAATAAATATTCACAAATGGTCTCTGTACATAGTTTTCTCAGAAGCTTTTTTCGAGCTGTTCAAAAATATAGTGTAGTCGTTTTTTTGTTTTAAACATCAAAACAATCATGATTATCACTTTCATTCTAATATAAAAAAACAATACTATGCTAAAAAAAAACAATACTATGCTAAAAAAAACAATACTATTATATGATAAATTTAATAAATGTACGACTGCTTATTTAGAAATAATTCTGTAAATATTGTCCATCCTTCCATCCATAGTATTATTTTTAAATATCATAAGAGAACAAAAAAGTCAATTTCCTTTTAAGATAACTAAGGCACAGGCAAGTCAAAGTTTGTATTTCGAGCATTGTAATATATGTCCGTCATGTTTTCATGAAAAGGACTCATTCGCATTATTTGAACATGAATGAAATCAATGCAACACATAAAATCATATCTGAAGTATTTCGAATAGTTGTACTTTGTTTTTTATTTATCTTGATGGAACAATAGACAACCATGCTGAAAGTTTTCCTACGAAGCCTATTATTATTCTTTAACGGAAATGTACAAACGTTTTGACAAGTACATGGGTATTATGAAGTTAACTCTTTTAATAGATACATTACGTTAGATAATAAACTATTAAAAATAGTTTAAAAGTAATTTTTATCCAAGTAAGGATTGGATTCCATATATATTGTTTTAAATGTTATAAAGCATAAGATAAAATTAATATATTAATTAAATAAAATAGGGAAGTTTTTTATATATTGGCTGGTGATATATGACAGTCTCGTTCAATTTCTCCATATGCAAATTAAGATATTGAAGATTAAAAAAAATATATATTCAGTAATATTCTATATAACAGTCTCGTTCAATTTCTCCATATGCAAATTAAGATATTGAAGATTAAAAATAAAATATATTCAGTAGTACTATATATGACAATCTCGTTTAATTTCTCCATATGCAAATAAAGATATTGAAGATTTAAAAAAATGTTTTCAGTAATGTTATCAATACACACAATTTAATTAAATAGATTTATTCCTTTAAATAGATTTATTTTCTTTTATCAATTTAAATATTTGATGGCACAGTGAGGTTTGCAAAAATAGTTTATTTTTTTCTATAAGCATTGATTTATAGATTGACGGTTGATAAGGATTCTGATTAGATATGTATATGTTATTTTTTTCAATTCATATCCACCCAACCCAATTGAGTACATCCTTAATTTCTTATGGAATTTAAATAGGAAACATAAAGCCCGCTTTCAAGGGATCTAAACTCTTTACAATTAAATAAATAACATGTAAGCTTTCTGATTTACAGGAAGCGATAAACTTTATTAATTTTGTGTGATTTTTTTTATTACGATTGGATAGGCGGGGTACTTACTTAATTTGAGTGGCGACTCGTACATGGATATGTGCTTCTGCTGTGTGAAAAGACGAACGACGGCAATAAAAATGTGCATTAATTTGATATTTAATGAGCTTTCAATTTGTTGTACGATAAATACACAACTGCCTTCATATGTATGTATATTACGCGTTTTAACTGATTAAAGTTCTTTATTTCAAATTAAAACTTAAATTTTATGCATGTACTTTTATGAAACATTTGAGCAATATAATAATATGGTTGAAAGGCGAAGCGATGTGTACAAATGTAACTTCAAGTATTAACTTTCCTACATGCTTTTCGAGAATGCGGAGGAGGACACTCAATACTGAAGAATATCCTTTCCCATTGTAGCATCGCCAAACCTTATAAGAGCTGTACTTATATTCTACTTATACTGTGAGACTTTATACACATGCGTGAATCTGCACAAATACACAGTGTTTGGCTGACATTCCTGATGAAACGAGAGCACTGGAAAAACGAGATACTCTCTTTGTGTTGATTTTGCTCTTCATTTTGTCCAAATTTTATTATACACAACGAAACCCACCCGTATGCCGAAACCAATTTCGGATTTCATATTCTGCTACCTAAACAGCACAATTTCACTTTGCTTGTTGACTGCAGTTTTTTGGATCTTCGTATCGTATCTTTCTATCTAAGTACCATCCACTTAAATAAGAAGTAATTTATTTCCAATTGAATGCTATTAAAGTTATTATCCTTTAAGGTGTTATACATAATTTTGTATTGTTAGCACACAAAATTCTTGAGTTTACTCTCAATCGTTATTCTGAAAGCAGCAGATACTTTGCGAAATATGTTTCACTTTTTAAATATATTTTAATTCATACTTTTTATAATTTCATTATTGCGACACATAAATATTTTGTTTTAATTTACAAATGATTTTTATTCACAATACTTCAAATTTTTATCGGCAAGCGTTGTATATACAAGAAGTTAACGGTTCCATCTCCAATCCGGGACTAAACTTGTATACTGCTTAAATCGAATGCTAAAGAAAGGATGCTGTTGTCCTTGTTTTATAAGAGATTTTCGTAACATTTGTGAGCATTGGAATAACTTGGAATGGTAAAACGCTCATTAAAAACAAGCATTTTTTTCTATCCAAATGTATAATGTATAACTGTATAATTGTCAGTCAGATAAATATAATTTAAAAAAATTTACCCATTATCTAAATATTGTACTTCCATGCGTAATGTTTACTGCTTTTAAAATTATCAAAATTTGATAACATAGTAAGTTCTATGATACATTTTATTTTGAGAAGTAATAACGATAAAAGGATTTTATGATAAGTACTTGAATATTAATTTTTAAAATTCATAAACTTTATATTTAGGCACACTTATACTGAAACGTTATTTTATTTATTTATTTCAAATGTTTATATCTACATTTAAAATAACACTTGTAATAATTTTAATATATATTAGACAATATTAGATTTATGATAATTCATTATTAAAATAAACCGCTCTGTGAGAAAGCATTAAAAAATACCTTAAAACGTGTATAGACATACACCTAATGAGAGATATTGAAAAAGCATAACATTAGACATAATCAATAGAAATAAATATATTATTTAAATTCACAAACACTTATATATAAATTATCCAAATAAATCATCAGAGCTACGATTAATTTTGTAAAGATAACCTAAAAAAAAAATATTTATAGTAATTCTTGGAGTATACGTTATTTTATTATCTGATTATAATCAGCTAACACTCCAGTTAATCCAATTAGTCCAATCCGTTAATATAATTCAGTTAGATGTCAGAATTAACTTTAAAGTGATCACACAGTATAGAATAGAACAATAGTTTGTTGTATTTCTTCAATAAGCAATAGGTAATATACTATTATAACAGTAACAGATAGCTTTTACTAATCTCTAGCTGTCCTCTTTCGAAAAATCTCTTATGTATGATGAATCTCATTAGTCTCAGGCTCTTGGTATGGACATTTTTCTTTTAATCAATAAATTTTATAATAAGAATAAAAAATTTTTATTCAGATACTTATGCACAAACTTCAAAAGCTTAAAGAAATGCTTAAATTGGGAAACGAAAGGCAAATATTTAGATTTAATGAAAATTCATTCTTTTCTAATTTTAAATAAAAATATGAGTTATAAATTTTATTTTAATTTATTGGCTTTTTTTTATTAATTTATATATATTTACAAAGGTATTGGTAAAAAGTATATATTCTTTCGTACAAATAAAAAAATATAATCGTTACATATACACCTACAGTACATTGTAATTGAATTTTATTCTACAATATGTAAAAAGAAAATCATTTAAGCTATTCTGCTCGACAGATTGTTTTTTACGATATATTTTAATAACGTTAATGATTTATATAATTATTATATTAATAATTTTAAATACTTATATATACAAGTATGTATATATTTATATAAATAATTGATATACTATAACCTAGCCCTCCGAATACGATGACAAACTACTGCGCGTTGACCCCGTAAAATGTTCAAGCTGTAAGGTCTCTGAAGGCATAGGCACTACAAGAGCACCACCATATAAAGATTCCATTTCATCCAATTGCTGAGCAAAGGTTTCTTCTAACCTCTAGATTAAAAAAAAATAAAAAATAAATGTTACAAATAAAAATTAAAATAGATATATATATATAGAAATATAATCAATACTGCACAATTAAATAACATTCAACCAAAGTTAATTATAATTAAGCATATGCAGTAACATTTTAATATCTACCTTCTACAATAAATTCTTGAACCAAAATTACTTAATTATTAAATACGAACTAACCTTTTTAAATGCCGTTCAAAATCCTTTTGGCATCGAGATGCATAAAATATGTGGTAAATGAAAGAAAATATTTAGAGGACAGATAACATTGATGACAATTTATATATTAACTGAATTGAATATTATATAGCACGTTATCAATTCATACCTATGCATCGCATACTATGATATCTGACAATAATATACGAAGTTCTTTATAAATTGAAGTTGTTTATATATTAAATACATACATATATATATATATGTATATATAGTATGTAACATGTAATATATATAGTGTGTAATATTTAGATATCAAAATAATGCAATTATAAAAGTATTTATTAAATAATTTAAGAACATTAAATGCATATAAACAACATACATTTTTAATTATTTATTTTATTAATAATATGTGGTAAATTAACACTTCTTGCTTTGGCAAAATAAGAGTATTGCTTAATATTATTTTGTCTTGTGAATAAAAATAAATATCACAAATAAAATATTTGAATATATATCGAGGAATAGCAAATTCTATTACTACTGTTAACTATTAATTGAAGATTTTGATAAAAGATAATGATGACATTATAATTTCTATTTTATATATAAATATAATAAAAATATATTATATACATATACATTAAATATCATATATATTATATGAAGAATTGACTTTATGATTATTGATAAGAGTTTTCTATCAATAATATAATTATACACATAATTATAGTAGGATACAAGAAACTGTTATTTGATATCGTAGGATACGATGCAAAAGGCAATATTGCAAACACAATTTATTTATATTAACAATGAGAAAAGTTATGATAATGATTATTTACACTACGGAATCGTCTTTTGTTGTATTTTTTTTGTCAATTGTAGATACTCTGGGCAATACGAATTTTGTTGATTTATCAATATTAAATATGTTCGTGGCATTATTTGGTGATTGTACTGTAACTGTGTTGTTATACTTAGTAGATGCACGTAACTGAGGTTCAACACTCTCAAGTAAACTGGCTGCCCTATTTCCGGGCGAAGCATCTATATTAATAACATTCATTTGATCAGTTTCTAGACTTGCTTCATTAATATTGTACAACGATTGCGTACTACTAACTGAGAGCCTGTGGTTTGGCAACAACGATGGTCGTTTAATTGTAAATGATGCAGTGTGTAACAGAGTTGGAAGATCTGTTTTTACACCATTAGATGATTGCAACGGTTCTTCGATGCTAGTATTTACGGATTTAAAACGATTTACAATTACACCTTTATCTGTAAGTTCATCATCACGTAGACTGTGACTGTTACTGTTACTGTTACTGTTACTGTTAATATGATACTGTGGCGGCATCGTGTTTCGAAAAGTACTTAGAGAGAGTTCAGAATTTGTTGTAATCTTATTATTACTATTGCTGGATGTTTGAATTTTTATTAATTTTGTTTCGAAATTTCTATTTGGTAGTGTAGCTGTATGTCGAGTTAACAGTGTTTTATCACGTAAATCAACAGCGTTCTCAAACCCTTCCATTTGCACAGCTTCTGAAGTCTTCAGATTAGATTCATTTGCCATTTCTTCAGATTTAATATTTAAAATACCAGCTCTTTTTTGTTTATGTAAAATTGGCGTGTTGGGCACACTTTGGATAAGATCTGGTGTGGAGTTTCGGAAATTATAACCTTTGTCTAAAGATAACAATAAGGATGTTCGTGATCGACTCATTGGATTATTTAAAAACACGCCCTTTGGTAAAGGCCGGCCACCACTGCAAATATTTCGCAATTGAATCGGTACCTCGAATTCTTGCGTTTCATTTGCAAAACTATCAGATAATGCTCCATGCTTTCGTTGAAATTTATTGGTCATATCACTTATATTGTTTATCACTTTCTGTTTGTTATATCAATAAAATTGTCAGAAGCATATATTAAGGTAGTTGCATGCAAAATAGCCGTTATTGTTAGTAATAATATAATTTGAATTTGAATTTGTATTAAGTTTTTTGTTGACATAAATTCGGTTGCAAGTATATTTTATCCAAAAAAAGCCAGATTGAAGCAGTAATAGAAGTCAAAAGAAAAGAGGAAATCATAAAATTGTTTAAAACCACTTAAAGAGTGTTTTTTAAATATATTCAAATTACACAAGTAAATACATTTAAATTAATCAATCTATTAGTATAACTAAATTTAAAACCAAACAACCAAATGCGTTAGGAAATTATTACTAACCTGTTTACGTGGTACTAGTTGTTCTTTCCAAACTTTAAGCTCAGCTCTTAGACGCTCATCAATTTCCGACAATTTAGCTTGTTCGTGTTCTACTAAAGCTTTACGTTTTTCGTTTTGAAGTTGTTCCAGTTCCCTATAAAGATATGAATATATATATATATATATATCTATTGTAATCATTTCGCAATAATAAACCAAACCTTATTGCTCCTTCACGGGTTGCTTTTAATTCTTCAAGTTGCTTCTGATGCTTTATTTCGAAACGACGCTCCTCCTGAGTATAACGTTTCTTTTCTTGCTCTTGAAACTTTAAGAACACAATTCAAATAATAAAGATATCTATAAGTAAACCAAAAATATATTCTTACCTTTTTCAATCTTTCTCTTTCAACTTCTGGATCTAGATTTGTCGATATTCGCAGCGATTCCCTAAACATTAAATCTCGAGCTTTTCGCTCAGCTCGAATTCGTTTCGGTAAAGCTCTCTTTTCTAATGTTTGTTTTTTCAATAGATCTTCTTCTTTACGCTGTAACATACGTTTAACCTGATCTAACTCCTTTTCATGTCGTACTATCATTTGATGCCGTTGCATAAAACAAATTTCTTTTACGTGTCTTTTCGAAAGTTGATGTCTTTCATGTAGTTGCTTCTCTTCCAGTTCCCAGAGTAATGCTTCACGCGTCCTCATAGCATTTTGTTTTTGTTGTAAAAAGTTGCGATTTATAGTGGCAAGATGGTCACGATGTTTTTCGCTTAATCTTCGCAGCAGTAATTCATGACGTTCTTTAAGTGAATCCAAAAAGGCTCTTTCTTTTTCTTCATGATCCAATTCCATAGCTGATCGGCGTTGTTTAAATTCATCTTTACGCTTATCTTTTGGCAAAAGATCAACTTCTTGTTTTAGCAAACGAATTTCCTGCTTAAGATTTTCCCGAAATATTTTTAACTCTTGCTCTTGTTCTGACCGTATACGTTTAGAAGCAGATCGTAGTTCATGTTCTTGTGACTGTTCTGTCTTTTCTATTAACTGCTTATGTTGTCTTGCTAGAGTATCCATATCAGATTCATATGTCTTTTCCAATGATATACGCTCCTGTTCAAATCTTCGATCTTGTTGTTCTTTAGCTATTTGCTCCTTCAGCTGTAAGTCATTTTGCTGTTTTTTCTCTTGTTTTTGCAGCATTTTAAGTTCTCGTAACTCTTGTTTTCTAAAAACATGATCATCATATAAACGACCAGTTTCATCATCTCCATATATAACCCTACTAGTAGTTGTAGTCATTTGAACACCATCAATTTCAAATTTTCTTGTACGTTTTCGAGTTTTTTTTCTTAAATTTCTGAGCTCTATTTCTTCCTTTGTGGGAGCTGGAGCAGTTGTCACACTTTTCGGCATAACAGGTACTGGTTTATGTCTTATTATAACTTCCTCGTCTTCAGTCAATTTTGTTTGATTATTGTCAACTTCGTTGCGACTATCATGACTAGTTGTGGTACAAACACTATCAGCGTCACTGCGATCAATACCAACAATTTTAACTTCTACTCCACGATGAGTAATACTACTATTAGATCGAACAGATTCATTTTCACTCAGTGTTTTTGAGTCCATAGATCCAACGCTACTACCAGGAGAAATTCGCCTTTCATTAGATGAATCTTTTCCAATTGTTGGCAACGAAGTACCACGATTAACAATTATGTTAACATCTTCAACTATTGCCTGACCATTTTGATTGATTACATAAGGATTTGCTTTTACATTGCACTCGGGTTTAAAGTCAGCAATACTATTTCCTTCATGTCTTACATTATTAACATGACTACTGTCTTTTACTTTAATTTCATCTCCTACTGTTACTACTGAAACATGACTGGTATCCATTACATTTTCATTATGATCATTAATACTAGAAATATTGAAACAATCATTGTCTGTATATGAAGGGCTTACAATAAGGACTTCACTTTCGTCTAATTTACGAGCATGTGTTGAATTTAAATTTGTTGGTGACATTTGATTTACAGAAACACCAATATCTTGTTTATTTCCATCCTCTGCTCTATTTTCACTAATCGTAACAATCATTGAAGATTGTGAATGTAATGGGGAATCATCTAAACTATCATCTAATGAAGGGCATTCATCATCGGTTGATGACTCCTGAATACGTGTACTTCTATTTAAATCATTTGAAACAATAACAACCTCATCTGAAGTAGGCGATCGAGACTTTGAATTATCTACAATCACTGGTGGATGCGTACTAGTCACCACTGTTATTTGACTTATATTTGCTTCTAAACTATTCGGATAAACAATACTTGAAGAACTTTGTTGAGAAGCATCACTATTTATTGTAATTAGAGAAGTTGTTGAACTCATTACTGTTCCTGGACTACTTTTCGATGAAGTTGTCGACTGTATTGAATGTGCTGACGATGCTGTAGGAGAAGGCTGTTGTTTATTATCCCAATCACACTTAGAATCACACTTAAGTTTATCATCATCTTTTTCGTCTTTGAATTCCACAACTATATTATTTTGTTTTGATTGTTTTTCAGATTCATTTACTAATTTCGTAGACTCCTCTGCTTTGCATTTTATAGAGTTTTTAGTATCTTGATACAACAAAGCTGATGGAGGTGGCAATGGTGCTTTCCCTTTTTCTTTTTTTATTATCTAATCATCATATATTAAAATTTTATATATTCATTTTTATAATTTTTTATATTTTACCTTTTTATCATTTTCATTTGTTATGCCAATAGGTTTATCCACCTCAGTAAGAACAGATCCCTCAGGAATTTGTTGAAGTGGCGTTGTTTGTTTACTGGATATTGCTGTCGGCAATTTTATTTCATCTGGTGACGAAGTAATAGATGCAACAACGGAATTTGGTTCTTTCTCTACTTCGATGGAAATGCTATTTTTAATTGACTTTTGCATAACTGGGTATGTACCCTCTTCTTGTAATTGGTTAATTTGTGGTATACTACTTGAATGAGAATTGTCTTTGGATTCTCTCAATATGGACGTAGGAGTACCTGGAACTTATTTTTAAGAACATATTAATTATATTAAACGAAGATGATATCTCTCTCTCTCTCTCCAATATACCTTTATCAATATCTTGACTCTGCAGTGAAGCTGAGTCATCGTCCAGGTCGAGTCGGAGCGCCGAGTTGCGGGGTTCCTACAGAAAAAAAAGTTAAGTATGTCATCACAATTCTTAGGCATTGTAAGCCTTAATTACTATTAGGTACTAGCATTAGATTATAAATATAAAGAAAATGAAATAATAAAAAAAATCCAAAAATTAAATATATATATATATATATACATGCAACCAAAAATTGTATTAATGTTCGTTACTCAATTCTTCTAGAAACAAAAATAACATATGAAAAACCTTTTTTTTATAACGCATAATTTATTCTCAAAAACATATTAAAATAAAAAGTAAAGTCGTAAGCGAAAATTTAATATAAAAAACTAAATTCTTCAATTGAAACATATTTTTTCATATATCTAATTAAAATTGCACAAAATAAATTTTTTGTTTTTATGAAAAATGTATTTTTTTAAAATATTTTTAAATATTTTTTTATGTATTAAAGAAAAATTGATAAGATATTAATATGGAAATAAAAATATCAAGATTTGAAATTCGATTATGAGAAAAGATTTAGCTTGTCGTTTCAAACGAACGTGTACTTTTACCCGACTTACCAACCCTTTGATAAAGTGAGCGCCTTTTCACTTGACGTTTAAGTTTCTATAAGCAACAAAAATCAATGCAAAAAGCAGTCATTGATTATTTATTTAATTTGTATTGTGATTTTAATGTGTTAAATACACAAAATATAGCAGCGTGTAAAAAAAAAAGTTTTTACAGAACAATTAATACACAGCTAGATAACAAAAGAATTTTAGAGCTTTATTAAAGCAAATTTGTTTTAAAAACAAATTTTTAATATAATAGAATAACACTTACTTCTGCTTCCTCGTCAACAACTTCTTCAACAACCTCTGCTTTATACTCCAGTAGAAGATCTTTGATTGGTTTTGCATCAAGATCATTTTTGATAAAGTTGTGTTGTAGGAGAGTATCTGTGTCAGGTCGTTGATGAGGATCCTAAAATTAGTGAAATATGTTGGAAGCATTTAAAAACAGCATTTTTGTTATTATTTTTGTTATTACCTTGACCAGTGCCTTTTTTAAAAAGTCATTGAATTCCTTACTCCATTTTAAAGGATTATCTAACTTTGGTGGTTCGCTTTTTTGAATTTTTAATAAGACACGCATTGGTGACATTTCGCTGTTCGGTGGTTCCATTTGAGCCAATTCAATAAGTGTAATACCAAGTGACCATATATCAACTTTTAAATCATATGGATTATCCCGAAAAGTTTCACATAGAACAAGTTCGGGCGCCATCCAATACGGAGTTCCAATAAAAGTGTCATGTTTTTGCAGAGTGTGCTTATTTTTAGCAGATACACCAAAGTCAGCTAAAGGTTTTTTATAAAAAATTATTGATTATTATTGATTAATAAAATAATAAATATTAAATAAATACTGACAATCAAATATGTTAAGAAATCATATGGATTCAACACTTAAAACACTTAAAATGTATAAATCAAATTAAATTTCGGAAAATACCTAATTTAACTCCTCCATCCATGGTTAGCAGGACATTTCCGGCTTTCAAATCTCTGTGTATTACTTTATTTTTGTGCAGAAAATTTAATCCCAATGTCATATACTTACAAACGTAAGATATTTGCGTTTCTGTAAGTGGTTTTTCTAATTCAACCATTATGCTATCCAATGCACCACCATCGCAATACTCAATTAGCATCTGTAAAGGAATATTTTAAAGTCATAACAGTAAAACATTTGTCAAACATACCCAGAGTTTGTCATCAATTGAAAAGGCTTCATACAACTCAACTATGTTCGGATGTTTTATTTCCGAGAGGATATCAATTTCAACCATGTGATCACTTAAATTTTCCTCATCTTCTAAGGTGCACATTTTCGCCGCAGCAAATCTTTTATGGTCTTTATGTTGGGCTTTATAAACTTTTCCAAAGGCACCATCGCCTAATTCCCCTACCATTTCCCAAAATTCTGTTGGATCTGTATCCATTTTAATGTTATTGTAAAGGCGTTTTTTCTTTGCCTCTCCACCCCCAAGGTGGAAAACTTTTTTCAGATTATTTATAAACGACATTTTTAGCACTTATAATAAAACGAAATCAATCTATTCATTACTTGAACTTTTATGCGAATAATATTCCGTTTGTATTCGGTTATTCTTATCCAAATTGTTTTCTATCTGCAAAATATTATAAATTAATTAATAAATAATAGGATAAATCATAATTATTACCTTTAAGTGCGAAAGGAAATCTGTTTTTCGTTCGGTGTATTGCCTTTAGGTGTTTTGTGTGTTTTTTACTATATAATTTAATTAATGGATTTAAAACTTTCCCCTTTTCAGTAAAATGTCACTCATTCTCATTAACAGAAACATAGGGGTAAGAATGTGTTAAAATGTTCGATTCATTTATTATCTTCTGTTTTTGACAATCTTACATGTATGTATATAAAATTAAATATATTTATAAAATATATAGTAAAATATACATTTATTTATGAATAATATTGTATTACTCATTGCAACTTAGAAATTTTGTCATTGGTACAGATTGTAAATTGCTTTAAAAGTTTTGTTTTGAGGTACTTTTTTAGGGTGAGGCTCTTCAGCTATTGTTAAATGTAAAATTATTTTAGTTTTTCTGAAAATATAGAAATTATAACTGATTTAATATTTGTCATTTAGTTTTTAGCTATTTTTTTAAAGTTATGTTACGTAATTTCTAATTTAAGCTTAAATTGATAAAGGAATTCAGATACATACGTTATACATTGATTTTGTTAGAAATTTACTTCAGAAGACTGATAACATATATAAATTTAAAATTAAATATTATACATGTGATTTATTTCGCTAACAATTTCTTTCTAATTAAAATCTAATACTTATTTTATTTACAAGACTAAATCGCATTTACATTCGTCTATGGTATTTCTCTTAACAATGTTCATTGTTGCCATCATTATGTAGAGTTTCACTATTTATGGTATATTTTATTATGAATACAAAATTATTTTATTAACACACTAGAAAATATACTTGAATAATTTATTCAATTCTAGATATTTAGTTTTGATTTTTTTTTATTTTTCACAAATTATTATTTTCGCGGTTATAGTTGCAAATTAGATATAGAAAAGTTTTTGAGTCTTATGGCAACACTACATTTTTATTTACATTTTATTAACAAGTACAATGCAATAAGGGGTAGGCACAGGAAGATATAAGAGAAAATGGCGGTTAGTCATCAATTAAAGAGAGTAAATGAGTAAATAGGTCTGAGCTCTCATGATGAAAAGAGAGCTAAAATAGGCAACAAAATGACGTAAAAAGAAAATGCAAAAATGCATATAATACAAATAGTTTAGATAATGGCACATGATTTATACAATTATTTATTTAATATTTCATATATTTTAAACAAATAAATCTCATATAAACTTTGTTTACATATACTAACTCTTACATGACTGGAAACCTGCTCAATGAATATACTTTCAACACTACTTTTGCAACGTAGCATAACCTCCATTAGTTTTCTTATCTTCACTTTTATATTCTGTTAAACTATACTCAAAACATATTTATTATAAAAACAGTTAACAGAACAAATACCAATAAAAATTTCATGTATATTGATTTTCAATGTTTATTTATATATTTCTACTTGTTCCACATTCTTATGTTCACAAAATCTTGATTGATATAATTATTAAATAAAGAAAATATTCAAATGCACTTGCAAATACCATATAAATCACTTAATTAAAAAACTCCAATTCACATTTTCATTGGGACTGTGTTTAATCACTTGTCTAACATATTTGTACAAATGTTGCCATACAGCAAGTTTTACTCATAAAAACTTTTTCGAAAAAACTCACTTGCACACCTTGCTGTACAAGTGAATTAATAAAACACATTAAAAAGTGTTATTTATGAAACAATGAAAATCTTCTATTTATTTTATATTAAGGGTTAATGGAATTCACAGATACTATATCATGCAACAAAAATGGTATTATTATTAATAAATTCTTCTATTGAGACATCGGCTCCCCATAAGTTCAATGGTGTCGTTTAGTTTCAAACAGATAGATATTTATAACAGAGTATAAGTTAGTTAGTGTTCTACTGAAATTAAAATCAGAAAGTTCCAAACATTTATGTACAGTTGACAATTCACACTTTACAATTAAACGATATTAATTAACTTCAACTGAATAATTAAGTATTTACACTACCGCCACTCAACGAAATAAGCGAAAAAAGCAATAAAGGAAGAGTATAAATTAAACAAAATTTGTTAAGAATTGAGTTTAATGAAATTCAACCAATACTGATTTTTAATATAAAATGAAAACTATTACTCAAAAGTGTGTTATTATCAATTTTAATTAACATATCCAAAACTGTTCTTTTTTTATTTCAAATTTTTATATAAAGTTAGTCATATATTTTGCTTATTTTTTTCAACATATGTAAACATAGTTGCCACATATAATGTTTTAAAGTAGCGCTCTCCTGACAAATATGATATTACCATCATATCTGTCGAATTATCTGGTATATATTTATATGGAATAAAACTGAAGCAAAAAGCTTTACAAATACTGAGTTAAATTCGAAAATGTGTTAATTAAGAACATTAACATATATAATATGCTTTGCTCTGAACTGAATAAACAGATTTCAAATACTTGAATACAGTATAATGTTCCAAACACTGTCGATATAAGAAACAGTTAAGTGTTTTGAAAGTTTAGTTCAATCATTACTGATGGCATGTAAATGATCAAATATCCAGACAAATAAAAAGACATACAAACAGACATCGTCAAATCGTATTAGTATTTAGTTTTATATGCGGTGCATCATGTTCTTCTCTGCTTTACATTTATTTTCACAAATTATACATAGATTTAATTCGAAATATAATAAAGTACGCATATGAAGAAAACAATTCTGAGTGAAATTATTTCCAAATTTAATTAATGTTGAAAATAATTAACAATAAGCGCACTTTACGCAATGATAGTTGCATAGTTATATTAAAACTAAAAGAAGTAGCATTTCACAAATAACTTTAAGATGAAATATTATCTAATTTTAATTTTAGAGAGTAATAGTGTTGGTTTGGTTTCACAAAAACCTCAAATTAGGTACCGTAAATTTAACTTATTGTTACACATTTAGCGAGTTAATTGTAAAAATGCGTCAATTGAAATAGTGTGAAGATGATCTCATCTTCGCATTGATAGCGCATTGAAAATTAATATAAAATGTGCACGTCTAATGAATTTTAATATTTATATCTAATATCTATTTATATTTTATAGCTATTATAAAATAAAAATAAATAAAATTTTTTGTTTTAAGAAAAATTAATAATATACTTTATGTTACATGTATCTATGATAATTTTATGTAAATATTTTTTATATTGGTAATTGTTTAAAAATTTTATTATGTACTTACATTATTATGATTTTTCTGTACAGTTATGGGTTATGACATGATTAATTTTATGTTATGACATTAAATATATGCATCAGGTGGGAACACTGAACTTTAAGCTTTGAATATATTCAATATAACTTTGTAAAAATAAAGCTCGCAGCTTAGTTTTGTTTATGGCTTGTTACAATTATTGCCAAATTGACATCTAGATGGTGCTGCTACAGCATTTATAAGTGCGCATGAACTAAGATATACACTTAAAAGCTCGCTCGCTTCAACACTTTGTGGAATGCAAAGAATAGTTTGTGAGATTACTTAAGGCGGTTGAGTTGTGGCAACGGAGTGAGTGGAATTCTTAAATGAAAATTATGTAAATGGCGCCAATCTGTAAGGTTGCTGCTATACACATAAACAAATATTTATAAATATACAGATGCTTTCAGCGATACATTAATGTGAATATGACCATGTTTGAGATGTAATAGCGTGGCAGCTCGTGTACTAAAAATTCAATATAGTGGCAGCTTTTCGCAGTATATTTTGACAGAACGCTGATTGCGTTCGTAAACGTCAAAAATAAGAGTCGTGAAGTTTGGAAATTTGTTGAGAAAATTATTGAAGATTGTGTTAATACCATAGAAAATGAAAAATGTGTTCCATATGAGATATATGCTTTCAATTATGTCGTAAAATAATATTAAAAGAAATATGTAAAATCTATATAATGTTGTAAGGCGAAGCTCTCAAAAATAAGTCAATTTTTTAAAATTCAAAGAGTGAGAAATAATATGTTCAAGTTGAATGAAATATTTAAGTTCAGATTATATTGCAACTTATTGTTTAACGGTGCTAAAATTGTAGAAATGAAGTAGTGAAAAAAGTGTTCATATGGTTCAGTGGGTTTTTTTTTTTCAAAAATGTGACCTACAATTAGTTGTGAAAAAATTAAAAGAAATGATTCCCGGACCTTATATACCGTAAATTAACTTCAACCTTCGACCTTAAACGTGCACTCCCACCTCTAAGCGCACCTCCTTCACAGTCTCACATAATGCAAGCAAAAAAACGCTACATACTTGTCATTGTTTCCTGTGCGTTTCTTGCGTATTGTTATTTTGGTGGTTATCGACTGAAAAAAAATAATCGTCGAGTTCGATTGAATACTGCATATTCGTCATATTCTTCTTTAAAAACGGTTAATGAGTTACCAAGCTATTTTACGCATAACTCTAAATTGGAAATAGAAAAAGTAGCAACTGCAGAACAAATAAATGTATATCGTGGGGAAAACTTTAATATTGCATCGCAACTTGGAAATACCAACTCTCGTTCTTGTCGCATGGAAACTTGCTTCGACTTTACAAAATGCTACGAACAATTTCTAGTTTATGTGTATCCCCCTGAGCCACTGAATTCACTTGGAGCTGCACCACCTATTTCAGCAAATTATCAAAAAATCATATCAGCAATAAAAGAATCGCGATATTATACTGCCGATCCCGAACGTGCTTGTCTCTTTGTGTTAGGTATCGATACATTAGATCGCGATTCACTATCAGAAGATTATGTCCGAAATGTGCCGTCGCGTCTTACACGTTTACCGTATTGGAATAATGGGCGCAACCATTTAATTTTTAATTTATATTCCGGTACATGGCCTAATTACGCTGAACAATCTTTGGGGTTTGATCCTGGTGAAGCTATATTAGCTAAAGCTAGTATGAGTGTATTACATATGCGAAGAGGCTTTGATATAAGCGTTCCGTTATTTCATAAGCAGTTTCCTCTCCGCGCTGGTGCTACAGGATTAGTGCAATCGAATAACTTCCCGGCGAATAAGAGATATTTGCTTGCCTTTAAGGGCAAACGGTGGGTTACTTAAATAATATTTACTGTATTTAACTACTTAACCTTAAAGAAATTGCTTGTTTTTAAATGTTGAACATTAAATTTAAATAAGTATGGTGAGGTCTCAGATATGTAACAATAAACCATATAGAAATAAGTTAAAATCTATTTTCAAATGAAAACTGAAAAAAAACTCAATCCATAATTTTAAATTTCAAAATTTGATGGATAGGTTGTAGAAGTACAACAATATCTCTATAAGTGTTTCACAAGATTTATAACATAGTTTAGTTATCCGACTTCAGATGTTACAAATGTACTTATTACTAAGTGATTAGAAGACTTTCTTTTTGATATTTTTATCATTCAATGAAAAAAATATCTGTAATATTGGGGTATGCATTTCAATGTAACATAAGAACCAATGCAAAAATTTCAAACGATAACAAAATGGCAAAATGGGTAATCATCGGTAAAATTTCATATTTCAACATTGATGGTATTTTGATCCCGATTAATACGCGCTCAAATAATATGCGCTTTACATTGTTGCTATATTACTCTTTTATCGAACATTGAGCATATTACTCGAGCATCCTGAATACCACTATTAAAGAAGGTTATATAGATGATTTTGAAACAATTTTTTCCTAAATTCTTTCCCTCTGTGTTGAGTGATAATAACTATCACATTTTTATTTAATTGATTCCATTTTTCTTAGTGCAATTATTTATTACTTATTTTTTAATATATATTTGACTTAAGCTGAGCACCGACTGTATGCATGACTTAAGTAAAGAGTTCTTATGTACTTTTATTTTTAAAGTAAATCGGTCAAATTAATATTTACTCACGTGCATATGTTATATATGCACAAACATTGCAACAATAATAAGGATTTGTTTCTAATGAAGGAAGCTAAGTGGTTAGCATGATTTATACTTAAATTGACAAACATTGATTTTGACTAAGCAGACTAAGACTAAGGACTAAGCAATAAAACTCAAGTCATGGCAATGGATGAATAGTTAAATGCTGACTGCTGCTAATAAATATATCATAGATTTAGATGTTATACCGGGCAAAGTTTTTAGATTTTTTAGATTTTAGATTTTAAATGGCAACAGTAAGACTGAAGAAAATAATATGCACAATAAAAAATATGAAGAATTTTAAGTTTCAGCTATAAGAAGAAATTAGATTTAAATATTTTATTTCTAAATTGATAATCTGATGCTGTAAAATGGACAATTAAATTTAAGATTTACCAACAATTTTAAAAATACTTTTGAGTTATATTCATTTCATATAAATAAAGAACTAAAGGTTATCGCCTGAAATGTAGTACATTGATTAGCTGACAAAAATCAAAATTATTTTTAATTTGTGAATTTCAATTTAACAATTTCTAGTGAGGATTATCAAATATAAAATTGTATTAAACAGTTCCGTTTAAGTAACTAACTTCCTTTCATTTTATAGAGTATTTTAAAATACTCTTTCTATTATCTTTCATAAAGATACTAATACAAAATATTTTATTTACTTTTATAAAATGTTGATATTACATGTCTTTTATTTAAATTTTTTGTGTGTTTTTTTAGTCAATATTATTAACAAAAGAATAACACAAAAAGATTTATAGTTAAAAAGTAAAAATATTATCTAGAACGAAACCTTAACATCCCACTTATAACTCTATCATATTTAATACCCCATAAATGAAGCCCATTGAGATGTTTGTAAATATTTGTAGCAGTTCGTTCTTGCCAGGAAGAGTAAATTATTAATTAAATTCGCTAGTTAAAAAATAGATATCCATCCTCAACAAAGTTTTTAAAAAGAGAATGTAAAACACCGTTTTTCTATTTAGTAGTATTTCTTAAACATTGTTTGGGTCAATTTTAACAAGTTCCACACTGCTGTGACAAAATACAGCTTTTCACGGAATCATATCGTAGTGTTACTTTTTAAATTCATTTGATTTATAAGCATATCTATAGGTATAATAAGAACCTTGTTGATTGAATCACATCCTGTTTTATGCTGTCAGTAAAGTCCTGTAAGGGGAGACTGTATCTTGAAATTGGTTCTAAAGTTAAATTCTAACTAAAAGAATAGTTAAGTGTTAGTAATATCTACCGCTGTTAGTAATATCTACCTAGGCATAGTTAATATATATTGCATATTCTGTTTAAGGTATCTATGCTCATATTGATTGTAATATTATAGCATAGTTATAAATTGCTATTATGTTTAAGTATATGTTAAGAGATTTTCATATTGTATGTTGATTTATTTAACTGTATTAACTGACTGATAAATATATTATGTGTTGTTGAAATATGTGCATAGTTGATGTCAAGAGAGTTTTTAGAGATTTAGTTTTTACTTGTACCATAATAAATCCAAAATTAATTTGAACCATTTTGGTACATCTCAACCTCATATCATCTTTCCTGAACATTATCTTATTTCATTCAATTTAATTCCTATAATTTATCTTTACATAGTACTTCGACAACATGGTCCATATAGACCGTTTTTAGGCATAAGATTCAAAATACATTCGTATATTTGCTATTCACAAATGTTTACCTTCTATAGACAAATTTTGATCTTTGTATCTCTATTTCTTTCGGAACTGAAATTTACAGTTTTGATTGCATTTTCATCTAGGATGTGTAGTGATAGATTCATCTTTAGTTTGTAATAATCAATCAATAACGAAATTTAGCAGGGCTGTTAAATAAATACTGTTAATTAAACTATTATTTTGATATGTATGGTTCTTCAAGGTCTCACATTTTTATATATCTTTAAGTCAAAATAATAATTAGATTTCGGGCAAATTAAACTCAAGTGGATTTCTGGAATAAGGTGCATTACAGGTAAATGTATGACCAAACTCAAAATTCATGAAACTAATTATATATAGTCCCAAAAATTCGTTTAGAGAAATTCAAATTTTAAACTCGACAGATAACATATACAATTACTGCAGACTATGCTCGCCCTTTATCGACGTTTCAAACAAATCATAGATTTAACCGGAGTATGTTAACGGGTTAAAAAAATTACAAAACAATAATAAAATAAATATTAAAACGACATAGCTTTAAAAGCAAAGTTGGTTTTATACTAAGTTATAATTCTGAGTTACTTTAAAGTTTATATTATGTAAAGCTTGTTTGTTCTCTCAAGCCTGATAAAAAAATTCTTTATATTCTTCACTTTTTGTTTTAACTTAAATATTACAATTATTGTCGATTGTAAAATATTCGTTATTTTATTATATTTCTGTCTGATATTCTTACTAAATATCTGAAGAAAATTGTAAATGCTCTTTATTATGCCTTCCCAGCTATTAGAGCTATAGAAGTAAGAAGGTACTAGCTACATAAATTTAAAAATTTCTATTATTAAATATATATATTTTAGTATTGATCATAGTATTTTATCACCAAATTTAATAGATCCTCTTAGTCTTATATCTCTTTTAATGTCTCCATTCTTTTGAACAAGTTTTGTTTGATTAATTTTGTTTTGTCTTTGACTTGAAGATTTAATTCTTGGAACGTTTGTTGTGGTTTCTGTTGCTTCTATATCGAAAATAGTGTGACTTGTTGTTGTTACAGTTGGTAACGGTCTCAAGGTTTTGTATCTAACATTCTTGTGTTTACTTAAATTAGTTCTTTTTCTTAAGTTAATTGGTAAATTAACATTGGATGTTGGAATCCAACTTGAAGTATCTGCAATCGGGAAATTGTGTTTTAAATGAGCCATAGTTGCATTAAACTTCTCCTCTTTAATTTTTCTTAAAAACTCATTTGGATAATTTTGAGTTTCAATAGTTATATTATTAATTGCATAATTTGCTTCAGACTGATTTAGATCATCATACATAGACGTAATTTTGTCTGGATTTTGTCTTGGTATGATTTTTGATTCCTCGGCATTTATTTCAGTAACTTCATAGGATTTGCTTGGGATAGAATCAATTAACTCAAACTCAGATATTTCGGAGATCTGTTTTTGAGGTTTCGGAAGTTTTTCACCAAATATATTAGTATGTAGTGCACTTATAGGTTGGGGTTTTAAGATAGAGTTCTCTGTTTCTTGCGTTTGCTCAATATCATGAGGAATAGGAATCCATGAACTATCAAATTCTGTAATTTTTCCGTCGATTACATCATTTGTGAAATTAAAATTATTTTCCTTCGTATGCGTAACATATGGTGACATTTCTTTCTTTTCTTCGTGTTCGGTTGATAAGCCCTGTTCTGCTATTATTTCTTGATCACGTTCATACTTTCGCAATTCTTCCTCATTAGGGAAATTTATTTTCTTTACATTACTTACATTTTCATCAACAATTGACTTGGGAATAGGAATTATTTTAATAGTTTTTTTTGGTAAGCGAATATTTAAAATCTTAACTGGCTTTTTACGTGCAGTTCTTACGATGTATTTAATTTTGGTTGATTTTGATGGTTTGAACTGGTATACACTACTAGGTACTAGATTAGGTGTATATGTTAATGCTTCTGCTTTAGGCGATGCTCCTGGCAATAAGTCGCCAAACATATTTCCCATAGTCCGAACGCCATGCATTAATCCACCCATGGTTTGATCCATTTGTTGCCACATGAAACGCCGTTCCGGTCTAATATTATTATATAATTCTTTAATCATTTAAATGAATTTGTTATAGTGTCTTGAACCAACCTGGCATGAGTTCCTGATCCACCTCCTCCGATAGTATGTAGATATAAGAAACATATTGAAATGGTAACTTTAGAGTGAAACAGTTTATGCAAAATTCTCATTACTAAGCTCTGTGAAAGTTCAATTCACGAAACAATTATTCCGTTTTTTTGCAGAGTATATTTTTTCAAACTTACGCAAATAAATCCGACTTGCAGCAACATTTTTATTATATTTGAATTTGAAAGGCTCTAAATTGCTTACATTTGCTACCAGATCCGATGCGGCTTTGACTGCGAAATCATTAATAGTAACCATTTTATACATATCGCTTTCTCTAATAAAATTCCTCGCATGCATTGAAAGCATGGCTTTGGTAGGATCACTCACCAAACTCTCTGCAGTGTTTGTAGTGGCACGATTGACTGTGAAGATTGTAGAGTTCAACGAAGCATAGAATTTCAGCCTTTACACAATGGTAAATAGAGGCAGTCTAGTTTTGTTATAGTTTTGGAAAACATAAGTGATGATCTTAACTACATACCATACATATATAAATTATTTGTGAATTAATTAAATCTATATATCGTGGTAATTGTTTGGACCTGACTAAATTTCGTACAGAGTCTGTTTTTAAACGAAATCTTGTAAACTGACTGGTCAATCAGTTATCTACAAGTATATATACAAATACTATATATTCATTTCAAGATTAAGTATGCTAAGTTGTTGTCTAAAAAGTAATTAAATACACAACAATGTATTTAAAATAATAAGGAAAGGAGTTAAAAATTAGATTTATTAGATTTATTTATTAGATAAGCTTAAAAATATTGTTATTTTTTGTGAGTTTTAAAATACTTTCGCTACGTGTGCATAGGGTATCTTAGCGTCGGCGAAGATGAAATTTAAATGCCTTTTAATCATTGGTTTTAATTATAATTAGTTCCATCAAAGTTGTTTTGCAATTATTGAAGTTTATTTCGTTTTCGCGATACAGCTTCCTTCCTTCCTTCCTTCCGCATATGTATATGTATTTTTTTTCATAATAATTTTATTAAAACATGTTAACATTATTAAAAAGTTAATATTATTGTACACCATACTTTTCACTGAAACATCTCAAAGCGTTTCTGAAATTTTTATTTTGGTTTATTAAATTATTTATTTATTTATTTCTCATGAACCTAATTTTAATTCATCCACACTTATATTTCATATCTTCTATTCTCATTGGTTTTAATTAATTTAAGGTAAATGACATTTTTTTACAAAACAAGTGAAATATTTTGATATATTATTATAAAAAATAAAATACACCTTACAACACCTATAGTCACTGAATGTTGATTCATTTGTCAGTAGGAGTATTTGTACATTTTTTGCAATTTTAATAGATATACAGTACTATCTAAGTCAATCATTTAAGTCGACCTCAACTATTGATATATTCACATTATAACACCAGTTTTACATCTTCGTTCATTAGTTCACATTTAAAAAATTTAAGAGTGAATATTTTTACAGAGAGAGGTTTAAACAATATGAAAATTTTAAACACATGATCTCTGATCCCTGAACTTTTAAGATTGAAGTAGCATCTATTAGATAGTCTGAACATTTACTATTAACTGTGGTATTTTAAGATATCTTCCAATTAGAAAGTACCTGTCGTCTAAGCTAATGATGCGTTGTTAATATTCTAAATGGCTATTCACCGAGTAGAGTAATGTCTAAAGCGGGTATTACACATTATTCTTGGCGCGCATCATTCACTACCGACAATATTTTGAACATTCTTCAGCAAAAAAAAAAAAATACAATTACACTACAAAATAGAATTATGCGCGTAATGAAACGATGTTTTCGCTTTAATGACATAAAACAGAATGATATTTGCATGAAAGCCGACAAAAATAAGGATTGTATGCGAAAAAAACGGGATGTCTGATGACTTGGCAAAAATTTCGTATTTCAATGCGTCAAGTCAACAGCTAGAATTCATGTGTAATACACCGTTTAAATATTATACTTAATCAAGTTAAGATTACAGTTTGCGGAGACAAGTAGTGACACACTTGTGACACCAACATAACGAGGCCTGATATTCCGCCCACTGCAAGACCCATCTCATACAAAATTTTCATTAAAAATCGTTCATTACCGTTATAAAACAACCTTTTACTCTTAGTATACTATATATATTTATTACGTACATAACAACACAACTGTATGCAAAAAATGGGCGTGATCCACCAATTTGTTCTTAAATTATTTGCAGTTTTATGCAATTTTAGCGGAATTGCGGATTCACAAAAATTGGGCGAACTTTAAACTTATATATTTTATATGTTTCTGAAGTATAAACAAATTAAATATTTATAAAATAATAAACGTCGTTATATTATTACTTATTAGATTAGATGTTGTTGAAATAAATGAGATTCATTGAATGTCATATTTTGCGTAATTTTTCAGTGAGTTCTGGGGCCTGAAATAGGTATAAAACATAGAGTGCGCAGGTTAATTTTTTATGTTGTGAAGTTTTATCATTTGGCTATTAGCAGGAAAAATTTCTGCTAAAAACAGAAATTGTTTATAAGCCGCGTTATGTCAACTTAATAGAACAGAATTTAGTACTAAAAAATCTAATATAGTTGTCTTATAAAATACCGGGTCAGATATAATTTTTATAATTTATTTAATTACAAACCTTTTCGCAAATCTGTATATTCAAGTAGATTTAGAACATTATCATAGAAAACTAACCTATCAATATATATTTTTGTTTGCATATAAGAAAAAAAAACTATCCTTAATGTTAATGTTAAAGATCCTTAGAGCTATTTTAAAATATTAATTTGATATAGGATGCAATTTTCTTAAAGCATATAATTTATTTAAGTATTAGTTTTTAAATCGTAATGTTAAATTATATATCATGTTTCATTTTTAGATATGTACATGGGATTGGATCTGAAACTCGAAACTCTCTCTTTCACTTACATAATGGACAGGATATTGTTCTGGTAACAACATGTCGACATGGCAAAAGTTGGAGAGAGTTGCAAGATGCGAGATGTGATGAAGATAACAGAGACTATGACAGGTATGCTACTTATATATGATACTTGAGGGTGTGAGGATGTGAGTGGGTTAATAAATAAGATATATAACATATATATATATATGTTATATATGTTATAACATATGCGAACAGAGTGAAACACCACAAGAAAGTATGTTTTACAAGTTGACAATGACTTATAATAAAAATGAGTTATAATAAAAACAGTTAATATCATTTACTGAATTAATTGTTAATAAAACATAAAAATACTTTCAATTTCAAACAAAATATAAATTAGTTTTGTCATTACGTTAAACTGCAGAGATATTTAAAAATAATTTAATAAAAGTTTAAATTTTGTAATAAAAATTGTATTTAATATTATTTTGATGATAACTAACTAAACTAAACTTTTATTTTCCAATATACATAAAAATTATGTTTTGCGATTATATGAGAACTTCGCCACGCAATTAAAATAATGGCAATAGTCGAGTGGCCTAAATGCTAATCGCTAAAGTATGAAGTTAGGTTCGACCCTTGACTAAGTACAAGTGGTTTTTATTATTTATTCAAGTTATATTTTTATTTGATTCATAAGTGGTTATTGTTAAAATACTAAAATCAGTTCCTATAGGAGTTGAGTATTTTGTAACGCAGCCGTTTAAATCTAAATAATTTCTTCCTAATATTATTGGAGCTGAAAATAAGCCAAAGTTTGTCCAGCAATCCGTTAAATGTGTAGCTCTATGTAAGTATATGCACATAAATATGTTAATAAATTTGTTCCTAAAAATATGTAATTCCATTCAATTTATTAATTTTTGAAAACCCTTACCTCTGTTTAATTATAGATCTGATTGTCTGATCTTATAAAATCTTAACCGATTTAAATAATTTAAAATTGCCTTTATAAATTTTATAATAGCATTTATTTAAAATAAAATATCTATTGTGTAGACATTATATGCCCATTAGAAAGTCGCGAATGAATAATATGGTTTTTAGCTAAAACAATGTCGTAGGTCAGAAATGGTATTACAGTCGTAGGTCAAGTTAATCGGAGTATTTATTTGGTAGAGTATAAGTTTTCTTTTTTCTATTATAAAAAAAAATATATATATATATAAAATTAAATTAATTTTTTTATATTATTTCTTTTACATAACAGATACGATTATGAAACTCTTCTGCTAAATTCTACATTTTGCTTGGTTCCACGTGGGAGACGTTTGGGTTCATTTAGGTAAACATATTTTTTTATTTGTTTATATATAATACATATAATATATATAATTTAAATAAAGAAAATATTGTTTTATAAAGTTCTTATAACAGACATTCATAACATAGATTTTTTTCATATCGTTTGATTTAGGTTTCTGGAAGCACTTCAGGCTGGTTGTATACCTGTGCTGCTCTCCAATGGTTGGGTGCTGCCTTTTGAATCAAAAATCGATTGGAAGCAAGCGGTGATATGGGGCGATGAACGACTTTTACTACAAGTAAGGACCACATTGACATAAAAATTTATTTGCATATAATAAAAAAATAGAATATATAGCCACATCAATAGCTGATATAGTTTGCCTACATAAGTGAATTATTGGAAAGAAGCTTACATGTTATAAACGTGTGGCAACAGTAGCAATATAGCAATATTTCTAAAGAACTTTTTAGTTTTGAGAAAATAAAGAGACACAGAATTAACTCTGTAGCGATCATGTCGTATTCGATAAAATGTGTTCTCGCTTAAACAAATTTTACATTATTTAAATTAATGTGTTTTTTTACAATCAGTAGTATTAGTTAAGTGTGGTAAAAAAGAAGAAAATAGAGTTTTTTTTAGTTACCACGTACAAAAATTGATTCGTTTAGGCTTTCGATCATTAAATATGTATTTATAACTTAAGGCAATAGAATAATTAATATGAATTTCAATGTAAATGAGTTGTTGTTACTTCGAATATTATTTTCTAATATTTGACACGAGTTATGTTTTTATATGTACATTTAGCATAACATCGCTCTCTATGAAGCTAATAGCAAAAGCCCATATATCCGTCAGAACAATTCCAATCAAATATATTTGTTTGGCATGAATTGAACACACCCAATGCATTTCTTTCATGTGTATATATAAAAATGTATAATACAAGTAGTAAAGGGGACTGATAATACATCACAAAGGTAGTGTGTTTTGAGTTTATTGACTATAGTTAAGAGAGAATTAAAATGCAGAAGAAGATAGGTGGATAGAGTGATTTGGTTTTGGAACAAATTTCAAACTTTCGACTATTTAATGCAATAGCGGTTTTAACCAAACCGCACAGTAAATTTTTCTTGAAACTGGTGGTGCAACAGGTATATAAATTAATTTTTGAGTTGAAACAATTATTCAAAATATCGAACCGATCCCCCGTCCAGAGCATAAAATGTTTTTGTTTCAAAATAATCTACAAATTAGTTAGTTATGTATGTCTACATAACTAAACTAACATAACTCATGTAGAGTATTTAATATATATGTGTATTATTTATATTAAAATCTATTAAAAATATTTAGTGAGACCTTATAATAAAATTAGAATGTATACTATATGTTCTTAAAACATTACTTAACAACAAAATACCAACAATTTTCTCAATTTTATGATTGAGTCATGGGTCTATTTGTTCTTCAGTTTGCTACTATTAGACTGTACCAGTATATGACATCACTTGCGGTGTTGCGCTGTTTATGCTGTATTTTGCTGCTGTGAGAGATGTGTGAGAGACACTGAAGTATGTGACATTTGGTTGTAAAGAGATGAAAAGTCTACATATCCATTCTCGAGTTGAATCAATTTTTGCCAAAGAGTAGATTTTTATGTCCTCAGTGAAAACGACCCAAGCCGTTTTCAAAATCTTTTAATAAAATGCGATGCACTCGCTTAATACATACTAGTTATAAAGAACGCGTTTTAGTCACTATTTTACTGACTCATAGTTTCAAGAGCGATTAAATGGAGATTCAATAGTTCTAATCTAACCTAAGATTAAGCTTATTTTATTTATATAATAATATTATGTTCTTATTTAATCATTAACAGAGAAATATCTTGTTTTACCAGACTGCCGGTAAACAATTAATATCTTCATTGAATATCGCAATACCTCAACAAATTATACTGTGATAAATATTTATTAGTTAGTATATATACTATATCTTATCCAGTAAAAATATTCCATATACACATTTCGATCGACACTATTGTAGTATAGTGTGAATTAGCCTCGAAGTATCTGCAATACTTTCATTCTAATAGAGAATAGATGACGTTCAGGAAGACACCTTTAAAGTTTGGAAAATCAGATTTCAGAATGCCATAGCTTATTATCAGAATCACAATATTAACAATAATTTCCCAATATATATGTAATATCTCTCTCGGAAAATCTTAAGTGTTATTTTGAATATCTTGTAAGAATTGAAAATATTTACTAGTATTAGTAAACTACGTTGAAAAACAAATTTAAAGAAATGTGTCTTAAAGTTTTATACACGATTCCATACTTTTTCAATCAACATGCTTTATCATAAATTATATCCTTCATTATGTGTAACTAAAGTATTGGTGGTATAAAATTACATATAATATAAATAATTTTTATTTTATTTAAATATATTTTATATAATTTAGCATCAAACATATTTGTTAATGAATCTTTTTCTCCAGATTCCTGATATGGTCCGTTCTATTCCTGCTGAACGTATATTCGCGTTAAGACAACAAACACAAGTACTATGGGAAAGATATTTTGGATCTATTGAAAAGATTGTTTTTACAACGTTCGAGGTAATTGCACTAGTGACTATAATTTATCATTTCTATAAAAAAATTTTTCGAAAACAATACTTTTTTCGTAATACCCCTAACTTGAAATTTTTATAATAAATTCGTTTATTAACTTTTAACTCAAGAAATCTTTATCGAATAATGTGTCTATCACACATAATGTATATTCTGGAAAGTGTAGGTTTTAGTGGCACAATTAAAGTGTTAAAATCTTCTAACTTCTTTGAAAATGAATCGAAAACAATCGAAGTGTTACTGTTGAAATTATTGTTAATTTATTTTTATATTATTACAGTATAAATGAGTACAATTAAATAATCAAAGTCTGATTAAGAAGTCAATATTATGACAAAAGGAGCTATTTTCCTTATAGACATCATTCTTTTAATAGAGATTTTTTGAACAGTAGTGATTGGTCATCTGCATGGTCAGACAAAAAGTTCAATTCATTACAAAAAACGAAAATAATAACAATGTTGTTGTATTTCGCTACTGTTAAAAAAACCTCCCTCCAAGTTTTATTATAAATGTAATATTTAAGTGAAGATATTGCATTAATGACGAAATGCTATATAAGGCACTTTGGCAAATATGGACACTGCATATTAAAACATTTGCTAAAAATATTAAATTTAATTATTTGCATTTAATTTTTTATTGTGATTTGTTTCTATAAATTCTATTTAATTGTTTAACAATGTTTTTTATTTTGTATGATAGTTTAATATCATAAATTTGTATGCATATGTATAAAAACATACATTATCTATATATATATTTTTTTAATGAACACATTGATTTTAGTTCTTATTTAGAATTAATTTTGGGTGATATTTTACAATTCAGAAAATAATAGTAACATTTTTAAGGATATGTTTAATGCATCATCTTAACTTATAATAGAAATTAAAATTAATTCATCCATTGTAGTAGTAGTACAGTTATTGCCGAAGTTTAGAATAGTAGTGAGAAAAGGCTTCTCATGCCTGTAGATCCTGCACCAGAACCGAGGGTAAATCCACTGCCTGTGGTTCGGTGACGGGAAGCGTGACTGGAAACGTTTGTACGGATACGGTCGTAGCTGGCAACATCCTAAAAATAAAAAAATTACAATATATATAATGGAAAATTCTTAACAACACTTTAAAATTACTGGTCAAGTATAAATTCTAAATGTTGACACTGTCGGCAGATGTTACAAATACTACAAGTGTTGTAAATCGACAAAACTCTCACCTCTTTGTCGGCATTCGCCAATACACTTCGCATGGAGTCAGCTACAGGCCACTTCTTTTTCATAACCAAATTATGTGGTGGTTCATGAGCAACACCTGCATCAACTGACCATATTGTGACACTGTCACCACCTCCGATCTTAGCACCACGAGAAAACTTGAAAGCAAGTTCTTCATCTCCGGCAATACGTGTTAATTGCCAACCAGTTAAATGAACTTCTTCAGTGCTTTTATTGAATAATTTAATAAAGCGTCCGTTTGCGTCTGCCTCTTGTATTTGTAAATCACCCTTAGCTGCTGAATTTACAGAGAATTCTGATAAATTCCGATCCTCGGATTCATCAATAACTGTACGACGACGTTTAATAGCACTGCCACCAGCTCCTGGCGTAGCAGATCGGCGCCCACTTGGTGTAACACGACCTGAACGATATGCAGACCGATTTGAAACGTGTAAATGAGATGATCCATTTGCTTGTGCAGCATCAGAATTGTTACGACTTGGAGATGGAATGTTAAGGCGACTTTCTTCACCACATAACAATTTGTCATATGCCGCAATTTCTAAATCCAAGGACACTTTGATATCCATTAAATCTTGATACTCTTGCAATTGTAGTGCCATCTCTTCTCGCATACGATTCAAATCGGCTTCTAATGAGGCCACGTATTGATTGTGACGTGCGCGTTCAGAATCTAGCAAGTTCTCCAATTCACGTATACGAGTCTAAAATATAAATATTAATAGTTAAAATAATAGAAAGATAATAATGTATAAACAATAACAAATCTTACATTTAGTGCAGAGTTATTATTTTCCAAATCATTTATCTTGGCTTGTAACTGATCAATTTTAGTGCGTGTAATACGGATTTCTTCTGTTGCATTAGCTGAAGTATTTGCGGCGCGATTTGCAGCAGCCTTTAGATTCTTAATTTCATTGTCATAGAGCAATTCTATTTCTTCTCTATTGGCGCGCATTTGGGATTCATACTGATCACGAAGTTCCTGTAGTGACTCTTGCAATTTTGCTTCATATTGTTTCGTTAAACGACCATCTAGTTCGGTAATTTCGATTTGACGTCTGGAACGGGTTTCGGATAGTTCTTTGGTGTGTACCTGATCTTTGAAAGTTAATTCTTCACGCAAACTTTGATTTTGGTTTTCAAGATCAACACGAGCCAAAGTTTCTGCTTCCAATTGTTTGCGCAAGTCATCCAATTGTTTACGCAGACGATCATTTTCGGCGCCCAAATCTTTTGCCTGATCCTCAGCCTTCTTGCGATCCAGTATAGCTTGATTATATTTTCCATTGACTTCATTGTAACGAGATTCATAAACACGAGAGCTATTCTCAGCAATTTGATATTCTTTGGTCTTTTTATCTAATCTGTTAAATAGAATTAAATCATAATTAGGGAGCCAATATAAATATATAATAAAATCTTAAGCATAATTAGCGGCATAAATATGAGAACAAAAAAAAAAAAAGAAAAGCAAAGGCAAAAATGACATCAGCAATAAGAATTTTGAATAAATATTTTAAATCTCCAAAACTTTTTTATTTTATAAAAGTTTTCGTCTATTTTCGCTTGACTTTAAGCATAAAACCAGTTTGTTTTGGTAATAATAACAAAAGCGAGTAAAACTGAATAAAACTCAATACGTATGATTGAAAACGTGGCTAGCTAATCGTATATAAATAATTTATATATATTATTTGCCATATACACACTTAAATTGTATATAGAGAAATAGTTTATATGATTAAAAAATCTATAGAAATATAGAATTACAATATTACAATATTAAGTTTTACGGCTGAACTACTTCTTATTTGAGAAGTAATTTGGGAAGAAATGCTTTCTCCAATAAGAAATTTTATTTGAAAATGAATTGAGGAAGAAGTTCAAATTGGACCGAACGACCGACCGTTGGTATATGTGTGTTGTGTATTCGACTAAGTATTAAAAATAGCTACTCAAGGTTTCAAACAAAAATGTGCGCAACTTTTCTTTTATTTTTGAAAATATTTTGACACGCACTTTCCTAATGTGTTTGAGAATTCATATCACAAAACCTGAAAACCTGAAATGTTTTGATCCAGTAAGCTTAAGTTTGTTGTGGATACCAAAAACCAAAAATCAATTTAAGCTTTTTTTTATTAAGACGTTGACATCATCACTAAACATGTTTGTTTCGAATACTGTTTTAATGTTTTATGATGTCATTTAATTTTTTTTTTTTCGAGGGAACTTACAAACCTTGAAATGGATTTTTATTAACTAATTTGAAAACATAATTTATTCACCAAAAAGCTAAAACCATAAGCATTTAGCTTATTGGAAAATCATTGTGTTGCTTAAATGTGTTTTCTCATCTTTTTTTTTGTTGTTTTTCTTAAGTAATTCCATTTCATAATTTGTTGTTGGCATTTTTCATTCAAATTAGTAGCCATATTCAATGTAAACAAAAACAAATATACATGTGCTAAGTGATAACGAAAAAAAAGAAAAGAAAATGCCTTCGTAAAACGCACGAATAAGAGTCGTAAACGATTTGCGTGCGCCAAATGACATCATTTTTATGTTGAACCTGAGCGAGGGAGAGCTATAAAAAAATTCATTACAACAAAAACGCTATAAACGCAAATGCGGAATTTTGTGTACAAATTCTCTAACTCTAATACACACGACACGTATGGAGTTGTTGTTGTTTTTTTTTTCTTTTTTTCTTGCTTTAATTTGCTTTGCAATTAATTACCTTTGCTTAAGATCTTCGTTTTCTTCCCAGAGGCGTTTGATGTCTATTTCAAGTTTGGCCTTTTCTTTAGCGGTTTCATCCAAAAGCTTGCGCGCCGCCGATATTTCCTTTTCGTACATTTCTTTGATGTTACTTGATTCACGATTGACCGTATCTTGAGCCACTTGCAATTCACGGCATAGGCGAGAATTCTCACTTTCCAGATTGCGCATACGTTCAATGTAGCAAGCCAAACGGTCGTTTAACTGTTGCAGCTCCTGCTTCTCCTGCATACGACTTGTACGTGTAGGACTAGTAGGGCTCGTGGCACCCAAACGAGAGGCCCCGCCAATTGGGGTAGATGTGCGCGAGACGCGCGTATTAACAGTTACACGTTTTTGCGACATTTTGTTATTAACTTATCGAATTAAGTACTTTTATTAACAAAAATGAATCTTTCTCGATGTACTTTGTAATTCACTTGATTTTTAGAGTTTACTTCAAACACGTCCACTTACTTCGAGGTTGCTTTAACAACTGAACGGCAATGAAATCATCGCTATTCAAGTAAATACTCGCTCTCAGTCTCACATAAACGCACTAACACATGTTCTGTTTCCAATATTTCTCTGCTTCTCTGTTTCTCTGCCTTTTGGGCTTATTTATTTGCTACGCTTTTGATAGAATATTTTCTGACACATGCAATAAATAAAATAAAGTAAAAGAAAGAAACTATTTTTTTTCCTTTTCGTTTAAATTCTATTTTAATGAAGTTCTAAACAAAAAAAAAATCTGAACAATGTAAACAACACCACTCGCTTTGAATCATAAAAAAATATGTATTTACTTACATATATACAAAGGTATTAACTTATATTATAAATTTCACGTACATACTCTAATTTACATATGTATATATAATTTTATATTATTTTTCTTACAAGAAAGTCACCGCTTCTTCTTTACAACACTCTCAAACCGTCTGTTTTTAATAACAAATAACAAATTACAATTTTTAATTAT